GAACATCGACCCAAGACGGTCGGCAATTGCGTCTGTGTGGTCAAGAGTGGTCCGCGCAAGAGGTTGAACTACGACCGGAATAGAAGATTTTTTTTCATCCTCGTCGCCGCCGCCCTTCAGGTTCTTTGCCTGTCGCCGGGCCTCCATAGTGATGTCTTTGATGACAAAATCAGCAAGAGACGTCGGTTGATAGGACGCCGAAGCACTACTTGCGCCGGCACACGACATCTTCACGGCATCTTCTTCACTAAGCCTGTCAGTTGCACCTCCTTCCGCTGCTGCTGGAGAATATTTTCCTCCTGATGTAGTTCGTGTTATGTTGTCTGCACCATCGTCACAAGAGCCGGCTTCTTGTCCCGGAGAAGTTCTCGCCGCCTCCTCATGCACTGATAAGACATTTTTGAAGCCCTTGAAAAGCGTTTCCTCGTATTATCGTGAGGAAAAATGCCCCCTCCCCATATTAAAATGCGAATGCCATCACTCTCTGAAAATTTGTAATACAGATTTGTGGTCACACATCAGCTCTGTCTTGCAAGAAGGCAAGCGCCGTTGTGTGCGCTGCATTGTGGATGCGGTTTCTCATGCTGGTGGGCCTACAGGGCAGGCGTTTCTGATGCTAAACAGCTAGACACCTACACTCCTAAACAGGCTAAGCATCTGGCTGCAGTCCTATACTGCAAGACAGACGTCATTTGTGCACGCAGATCCAGCACCAGAAATTTCGTCTTGATATGGGGAGGGAGGATTTTTCACTTTGATACGTATTGTCTCTTCGCCAGTTCGAATCGTGACTTGTAGGACACCGAATCCTTGCTCTCCGCGTGTTTGCGCGCTCGCTCGTCCGCAATGGCCTGCGTCCAAGTGGTGACCGTGGTGGCGGGAGAACCTGCGGCCATACTTCCTGGTTCTCCACCAGGTGCTTGCTTCTGCTGTTCGTGGACGCTGCTCGCGCCGCCGTTCTTCCCGTTGAGAGAAGCAGGGCCGACCGTAGAACTAGCAGTAACACAAGCGCCTGCTCCTCGTTGCGAAGAACTAGTACAAGTAGCTCCTGCAGTAGCAGATGTTGACCCTGCCGTGGAACCACGATCGGCCGTAGTTCCGGCTGCAATCAGTTATCCAGGAAAAAACACCCATCCCCATCCATTTTTTGCATGGCAAATAGTGGACCTTATGCATGTCTTGCGTGACAAATTGGATGGAGATGGGTGTTTTTTCCTGGATATCAGTCCCAACGATGCGACAAACCCCGGCAACGGATGATCCTTCTCGGAGAAGGCAGTCAGCAAGTCGTCAACTCTTCGCTCCATAGCTTTCGCGTGGTGGTAATACAGCCGTTGGGCGTACGGAATTCTACTGATCTCGGAGGTAGTAGTTGCACTACCAGCTCGAATCCCAAAAGTCCTACCCGTCCCCTGGGCTCCTGCAGCTTCTCCGGAACACGCGACCGCCTCCGGAGGCGTCGCAGCAGCTGCTTCTGCTGCTGCACCAGCTTCCCCTGATGCAGCTGCACCACCAGCGGCGGGCATCGGAACGTCACCTGCAGGAGGCGGGCGGCGCCCTTCCGCATCATCATGATCCTGGTGCTCTGCGGCCACGACCCCTGCGGTGCTGTTGTCCTCGCCGGCAGAGGTAGTGTTCGTCGCCCTACGGCCCCCTCCTGCTGTCCGCAACGAAGGGCGGAAGGCGGTCACTAGTCCACTTCCGGGCGTGAACACCGAAGCCGATCCAGCGGCTAGTGCCAGCACGTACGAGAGGAGAGAGCGGGTAGGAGTTGAGAATTGAGTAGTAGTAGAGCCTGCATTTATTTTTCTATTCCTTGTCCTGCTTCCTCTTCGCGGCTGTCGAGAAGTTCTTGAGAGAACCGAACTTCTTCTAGTACATGGTTCTTCGTGAAGCAGACCACGTTGTGGTAGACATGGAATGCGAAAAACTCGTTCGTTGAAACAAGCGCTGTCTGTGTAGAAGGTTCTGAAGTTTTTGTCCATTTTTCGTTCGTCCGATAAAAGAACTTCTTCGGCAGAGGGCTTTAACGATGATGTTGAAGATGAGCGCCTTGACGTCGGCCGTTGCAAGCACGCCAGATCGTCGTCCTGCTCTCGCCTGGAAGTCGCTCTTTCTGCGCTTCTACTTGCGCGAAGATCCAGATCAGATGCTGATCTTCTTGATGGGCCGCGGCCAGTAACAGTATGGTCTCCGTCTCTGTCTGTTCTTGAAGATTCATCTACATGCCATTGCTGTTGGTGTTGCTGGGCCGCCCCTCTCGCTGCTGGGGCGTGCGCAATTTCATTTCTCGAGGTCAACGCAGATCCACCACGAAGCTCCACCTCCGCCGATGTTTTGATGCGGACAGCTCTCCCTCTCTTTGACTTTGCTCTATCATTCGACGCCCCGCCCCTGCGGCTCGTGCAGTAGTGAGTGTGTAATACAATTTTGTTGGGAAGATTTTGTGGTCCCCTCACACGACGATTTGTCCTCAACACCTGCTGCCGCATCCTCTTTCCAAGTCGCGGGGACCATAAGGACATTGATCCTGGACGAAGCTGTAGTACTTGTGGTCGACGGACGGTCTTCATCTGAGCAAGACCAGCATGAGCAGGTCGTGAAAGAATACGTCGTGCTCTTTTCTTTTTTCTTGACAGGAGCATCTTCAGCTGCAGAAGCTGGTCGCTTATTTCCCAGCTGGTGCAGCTCGTCGGCGCCCTTGCAGCTTTTTCGATGTCCATGTTGTAGTTGTCCGCCTCCGCCACGTGGTCGTCGACTTCTTCTTTTGTAAGCCTACAATTTTCCTGCATCTTCCTTCGACCACAAGAACCCACTCGGCCGCGTCGGAGCTGCCCGTCGCGAAGAAGAGGTCCTCGTGATGAGTTCCTCTTGCAGCTTTTCAGCATCTTCTTCCTCTTGCGGTAGCGGTGCTACAAACGCATCTAGGATCGATGAAATTATAAAAGCGGGGGCTGTAGTAGTTGCTGAACTGTTGTGCGTAAACAAGCAACAAAAAATCTCCCCTTTGTTCCGACCAACACCAAATAGAAGTTGTAGAGCTTAATTATGCAGTCGAGACATCATCTTCAAACGGGGAAATACGATGACGAATATGTTCTTGAATCACGACAAACATTATTCCGAAGTGAAAAAATAAGTTCGAAACATTGACCTTCGGTGTGTGCAACTTTTATCGTGTTCGCAAAATGTGGTATTCGAAAAACTATAAACAGCTCTTGAATACAATTACTACGCCAAAAACCAACGTTCACAGGGAAAGGATCTACTTGCAACTCATGGTCGTCGTCCGAGTCGGTCTGACGAACAAAAAGATCATCTCATTAGGACTAATAGACACACTAAAAGAGCTACAGGAAGCGAGAAGGCGGGTGAAACTTGATATTTTATTTACGGCTCTTTTGGTCAACATCTACATCATGCTTATGCAGAAGTTGGCCAAATATGTCGTGTGCCAGAAAAAAAAACAACAAGAATTAAGATTTTATACATGCAAGATAGCAAGTTAGAATTAGAAAATTTGAAACAATATTTCAAACGGCGCGTCGCCCTGAAATTCGAATTCCACAACATGCGTAACAGGATGAAGAAATAAAAAAAAAGCCAGCTTCACAACCTATTGAACCACCCGCGTCGTGCTGAAACCAACTACAGAAGCTGCACATGTAGATCATCTTCCGAATTTTTGATCTCTGCTGGTTGGCCGCGTTAATATGGCTCCTTTCCTGGTATGTTGATCGAGAGATGAAACACAAAAACAACAACTTCGGGCTCGTTGCTGCTAGTAGCTGGTGTAACAAGGAGGGTTGTCTAATAGATCGGACGTATCGCTGTCGTACACGTAGTACCTACCTGCAGATGACCAAACACGACAGGCACGCTCTAGTCTAAAAAAAGGCCAAGAATAAATACGACGAGGAGATCGCACGAAAGTTGAAACTAGGTGAGATCTTCCTTCCTCTTGCTTTTCTTTCATACTAATGCTACGTCGGCGCACAAGGGTACTTAAGTAGCTACCAATAGAAAAATGGGTCCTCCATGTTGATAATTCTGAGATCTTCAGTCAGGAGAAGTTTTTCCTCCTAATATAAACTGATCTCGCAATATCCTTTGGGCATTCCTTGTGATAATAGATGTGGGACGACGAGAAACAGTATAGGTATACAGTATTGAGCGCCCCCAGAAGAAGATGTTCCAAACTGTATTGAGCCGCGCCACCAGACGCGGCAACTCCTTCCCCAACAAGCCCAGCTGGCCCTGGTGGAGAGAAATTGCGTTCGAAGAGAGTGGGCCGTCGGGAGAGAAATCTATCTTTCGGCTTTCTCAACGAAGCTCGCGCTGCCTTGATGTTCTTCATGCTTTATTTATTGCGGAAAAACTTTTTTCTTTCTTTGCGGCGCAGTGCTGTGTGCGGTAATAAATTGCTTTCGCGCTCCTACTCTGCGGCGACCACCATCTTCGCCCGCCGCGCCCAGGCCTTTATTTGTGGCCGACAGAGGGGGCGAAGACGGTTCTCGTCCTTTTTTCATGGGCAGCAGGGGGCTGCAGTTCGTCTGAGGGCGTGCCCTGATTCGTGCTGGGTAGTTGTCTCGTATTCGTGGCAGGTTGTGCGTTTTTCTGATTTTAGAAAAATCTTTATTGAGGCCTTTTTGTATTTCTATTTTGCCCATTCATATATTAATCGCCAGGAGCAGCTGCCGCTGCGTCTCGGAAATAAGTATTACTCATTCAATCACGACCACGACTTTTAGAAGTTCAACACGAGGACGGACCGAAAGTAAACCTACACAACGACCACAAGACAGATGTCGTTCTGCGACGTCTGGGAGCGCCACGAAGATCAAGATGTAGTTGAACACCTTGTTATTATTTACCACGCGACCCCGAACCTTTGCCTGCTCAGCAGAACTAGAGGCTTGTTCTTGGCCGGAAACAAGACTAGCGGTCGTTCCACCACTAGATGGACCGCGGCCCTGCTCTGCTTCTTTTTATCTTTTTTTTCACCAGTTTACTACCTTTCCGCTTATTCCATCCCTTCTAAAAAAGCACGCGCAATCAAAGTTTTCTTCAAGAAGTTCTTGCTGGTTGATGTTGATCTTCTCTTCAGTAGAAAAACAAGCTTTTTTTTGGCGCAGCGAAGTGCCATGATTCAGTCCTGCTTCCTCTTCGTCTCTGCTGGACCAGGACTGATAACCAAACTTGGTCAATCTTAATGGTCCTGGTCCTGGAGAAGAAGAAAGCAGCATGAAATTCTGAAGATAAAGATATCCTCCAACTAGTAGAACTACTCGCTGTAACTGTAAGTAAGTACGTAGAAGTTCTTGCCCTCTCTAGTTGTAGTAAGTTCCTCACGGACCTGGCGGGCCATTATAATCTGAAACTGAAACCATTGTTCTTCTTGAGGACATCAACTTCTATTTTCAACTACAGTTGGTTCTTCCATCCTCCTTTCGCACTTTGTAGTTTTTGCGCTCTTTAGAAGTTCTAGAATTTATTTTCCACCATCCATTGGCACGTATAGTCAGAAGTTCGCAGCTGTAGTTGTGGAGTATAGTCAGAAGCTCGCAGCTGTAGTTGTGGACGGCTGTGCTAGTAGTACTGGTTTTTTTTCTTTTGTCGTGGGGTAGTGCTTTATTTTTTCGGCAAGTCTATTCTTAATTTTTCGTTTTCGTAAATGATCGAGATTAATTTTGCAGCAAAGGCAGAGCAGTTGTGGTGTTCTCGAGAACCGGTTGTTCTTGTCGCAGCTTGTTCTACTTAACTTGTCCCGGTCCTTCATCTTGTTGCTGTTGTAATACTGTTTCGTAGCTTTTTCATCTTCATGGATGTGTCAGGATCGAAGTCGTCAAAGTTGAAATAGTAGTTCTAGTTTGTCATGCATAAAATACAACAACGCAGAAATTGCCTCTATTGCTGAGGACACAAGGGAGGCAGATTGTAGTGCTGATAAGAGTCGAGAGCAATTATTGGGCTGCTGATTAGCATCACAGAGGGAAGCTGCCCTTTGTTGCCCTAAACAGAATGACAAACTGGCCTCCGATATTACGGACAAGATTTGTCATGGACCGACTAAAAAGAACTGTGGGCCCAAGTGGTATCGATTTTAATTGCAAGCTATTTCACCTCTGTCGATTTCAATCCTGACACTCCCATATATTTCAATATGTTTGTAGTGATGTAAGTATCTATTTCTATCCGTCCTGGTGCCGGCGCTCCCTTATATATCGTGGATGGGAATGATAAGTAGCCATACTGCAGCTCTGATAATTAGATTGACTTCTTGTTCTTCTTCTTTCTCTTCTTCTTCATTTCATCGCGTTGTTCACTCCGGCGGGCGCCGGTTGGAGGAGGTTCTTCACTCCGGCGCGGCCGATTGGAGCTTCATCTGTTCCTGGTGGTCCTACAACGTCGTGGTGTGAGGACAACAAAGACGAGAAATCAACAAAGAAACAAGAAGGATTGGACTTTTATTATTTCATCCCCATCATCATGATACAAGAAGTTAATGTTAAAGTACTAGCACCAGCCACTACATTCTCGCACTAAAAATCAATTCTTGTTCAACATCACTACATTCTTGCCTGCAAACGACCACCAGCTCCTCCAGCGCTCCGGATTTCATTTCCGTCCCACGGTGCCACCAGTACCGGTATTTTACAAAAAAACACGACGGCGCCAGGGAGAGAAAAGAAAAAACGGAGCGGGGAATAAAGCAAGACGTTTTTTGTAACAGGTCGCTACGAAGTCTACTGCTAGTAGTTTGCAGCTGTCTATAATTCCTCCTGCTTTATTGACAACTACTACTTATTACTACCTCTCCTGCTGCTTCCGGGGGATAAACAAAATTTTCGAGTTCTTGTTGTTTTCGATCGGGGTCGCTTTATGTTCGTAATATTCTTTCGACTTCTATCACAGGAAAAAGTGTTAACGTTAACGGTTTTCACAGATTGCAGTCATGCATCACAAATGTAGCCCAATATGCATGCTATGCATGACAAATTCTGACACGTCTTGTGATGCATTTCTGCATCACAAATTCCGTTAACGTTAACACTTTTTCTTGTGATAACTTCTTGAAAATTATGACATTCTGGAGGGTTCGTTAGTAAAAATGCACAGACATAAGTGGTTTTGATTGTACAGCTGATTTTCAGGAGTATGTGTAAAACTCGGAAAAGTGGTGATGTAATTGTAATATGTTATGCAAAAAACAAAGTTAATGCTCATAATGTACAAAAGTGCTCCCCGAAGGAAGTAAAAGTTGTAGTTATTAATTAATTATGTGAAAGAATGTGTAAACTTGTCAAAAGTGTTGAAATAAAAATACTTCATAGAATATCAAATGCAAAAATGTCTGGGTCTGGAAGATTGCAAACTTGTCATGCATATTTTCCGTGCCCCATGAGGTCTGCAATGCAGGACCTAGCATGACAGGTTCTTCGAAGTCCCTATCATGTCTATCCTGCATGACAAACTGCCTCCACACTTGTTCAAAAGTGGACACCTTTTGGCAATCATGCAGCACAAATTTATGTACTATCCAGACTTAGCATGACAAGTTCGCGTCCTTCCAGACCCAGACATTTTTACAATCCATATAGAAAGAACGTAAGAAGCCTTATAATCGATGTTGTCTTTAAGTAGAAGTTCTGCGACATCCATTTTTTGTATGGCGTTCTCAGCTGTTACGTTCTCAACTGTTACATAGATTTGTGATGCAAGAATGGCAAAAGTGATAGGGGGGATCTTGCGCGTCTTGCATGACAGATCTGGCACCGACTTCTATCAGCCTGTTTGGCCCTCTGAGAATTTGTCATGCGAGGCAGCTTGATGGTGTCGATTCTGGTGAAGGCAATTTCGCATGGCAAATCATGTAACAGTTGAGAATGTTAACGTTTGAGAGTCCCATATTTTGCTGTGGCTACTTCGTGTTCATCGGCGTAGTTGTAAACTGTCGCAGAAAACAAGAAATTTGATCAAAGCAGCGCTCGAGCTCTTGTGATTGTGTGTTGTTGCGGCAGGAGGAGCCCATCGGGGCGAGCTCCTACAATACTAGTGCTGTACGGTTCAATTTTTAGAGCCGTTTTCAATATCAATGATAGCGTTCTCCCCGAAGATTGGTGCTCTTACACAAAAGATATCATTAGCGCCACTTCTACTACGTGTAGACCCTTCTACAACTCCCTTGGCAGCATGAGTCACGTTCGCATTCGTAGAAATAAAGTACAGACGTAGTTTCTTCCTAACGACTTATGTAAAAAAAGCGTGAAATAAACCGTCACGGGCTGCTCTACTCCTCGGCCATAGACCACCTCGACCACCTTGCAGTAGCCGTGAAGACCACAGAGAGTAAAAATACTTACACATCAAAAGGAAAAAACTACCCCAGCTGCCGCGGTCCGCGTCCGTCTGGTTGTGTTTTTACTGCTACTTTTCCGCGACGGGCCTCAATATTTCAGACCGACAGGAGTGCATGGACCTAAACGCATGGTAAGAAACAAGTAGAAGTAAGCTCCTACCTGTTCTTGGAAAAAAGCCCGCCGAGGATAAAAATTGCCTGACGAGGATAAAAATAAACCTGACGAGGCAACCAAGACCCCCGACGAGGCCACTGACCCAAACCCTGAAAACACCTCCAAACCCAAACCCTGAAAACACCTCCAAACCCAAACTCTGAAAATAAATAGTAAACCTCCACACTTGTACTGGTTCATCGTGGAAAATTCTGGTCGAGTTGGGAAGTAAATTAGAAACAAATAGATGAACCTACATACTTTTGTAAAAATAAACCCGAAACAAATCGAAAGCGAAGCAAGCGCGGCCCACCTCGCTTGGATGGTAGAAGTGCTTCTCGTAGTTGTACTTGTATTTGGTATTTCATCTTGTTCTACTTCGTAAAAAAAGCAAGCTCTTGTATTTAAAACCTTAACCAAGCCCTATCCTGAGTAAAAACGTCCCCGCCCTATAGCCAAGCTGGTAAATCTGCAACACAAATCTCCAAGTTTATTTCCGAGTTCTTATGCATGACAAGTTTCTATCTTCTGTAGGTGTAGGTGTAGTGTAGTGCAGTTTACCTTTACTAGCAAGGACAGCAGCATCACAAACACGGCTGCTCATCTTCCTGTTATACAGCATTACAAATCTTCCCAGAACACCACTCCGAATTCCTCTTTTGCGATACAGATTTTTCTTCAGATGCAAATGTGCATGTGGGGACGTAGTTCTTACTCAGGATAGAACCCTGCGTCCCTCTTTCTGCGATGGCCGCTATCAAGTGTAAAAGTGTCTGGGTCTGGAAACTTGTGACGCTGTGTGGCATATCATGAGGAGGCCACAATTGCTGGCTCAGCATGACAAGTTTCTGAGCTTCTAGGTGTTGCCTATTCTGCATGACCAACTACGTTTCTGCATGACAGAAAAGTGGGGCTCTTTGGTAATGTGCATGACAGATTTAAGAGTCATGCCAGACAAGCATGACAAACTTGCATTCTTCTAGACCCAGACATTTTTACATTTGATAGCCGCGGAACCGGGACGATGCAGATGCCGCGATGTATGAAAGCCTCAGAATGGAAATCTCCAAAGTGGAAATATCAATTTGCGACGCATGATGACTGCAGAGGACGCAACGAAGGCCGAATATTTTTGTATTTGTCTTTCTACGCCGGGTTAAGAATTGGAGTGCTGATTAGCACGAGAGTGAGAAGGGTCAGCAGGCCCCTTTACATTATAATCCAGAATGACAGAGATGCCTCGAGTGCCCGGGAAGTTTGTCATGCTCTGCCTAGAAGTGGGCGCTTCAAGTTCAACTGAAGGTTCATTTTTTGCAATTAAAAACTATTTCCACTTTGAGGATTTCCCGCCTGAACCTTTCATACGAATGTTGTGAGGCCTCCTCATACTAACTTGTATAATTTCAATTTCATGCATCCTGTAAAAAGCAATATTTTCAAATTCAAATACATCTCGTCCGGCGGCAGCTGGAATCAAGAACGGCCTACTTTTTTTACTTGATGGCCGACAAAAATAGTACGTTTTAGCGGTGTATATGATGAATAAACGGCGCTTTTGCAGCTTTTAGTTTTACGTGCCTTGCTTCTTCCGAACAGAAGCGCTTTTAATTTAATAGGAGCTTTTTGGTAAGTTCTTTACTTTTTTTTCGAAAACTTTTTATTTTGTCGAGCTTCTGGACCTTGGAAAACAATACGAACAAAAAATAAAAACACATGATTGAACATCAAAACAAAGGCAAACGGTTGTAGTTGTCCTCCTATCCTGTGCAAAAGTATCGTAGTGGTACTAATCGCATTCATGCATTACAAGTTCCTTTCTCAAGTTGAATCCGCATTACAAATTCTATTTCTCATGCTGAGGAGATTTGTCATGCGATTTACTTATATATTATATTCATGCGAAAAAAGAGGTAGACAGAGGGTAAACAAGAGGTGGCCGAGAGGTCAAAAAGAGGCCAAAAGAGGTAAAAAAGAGGTCGACAGAGGTGGAGAGGTGGCGCGGGACCCCTTTCGAGAGGGTCGGCGAGAGGGTGCGCGAGTATAGCCAGCTGAAGGCCCCACCTTAAGGCGGCGCCTAAGTGCCTCAGAGGGTGCAGAGAGGTCAAAAAAAGGGGGCGCGAGAGGTCGACAGAGGTCGAGAGAGGTGGCGCGAATAAGGGCCAACCTCTCGCGCACCCTCTCGGCAACCTCTGGGCCACCTCTGTCGACCTCTGCCCGCGAGTATAGCCGGACTATTAGCGGGGACCCCCAAAAGAGGTAAAAAAGAGGGTCTGCGAGAGGTCTGTGAGAGGGTAAAGACACAAAGTGGCGGGCGCGAATCCGCATGGCAGTCCCCATATTCAGCATTGCAGGCTCTTCGCGGACTTGTTTGGTGCGGCGTTTGTCCCTGCCACCCTCTCGCGCACC